TTGATCACCTTTTCCCATTTACTGGCCATGTGTTTATATCTTTTTGTGTATTATCTGTTCAAATCTTTTGTCCATTTTTAGTTTTGTTGTTCTTGCATTATTTATTTGTAGGTATTCTTTTTATATTCTTTTGCCAGACAATGCAAAGATATGAATCTTTTGCCAGACAATGCATTGCAAAATATTTTCTCCCAAGCTCTAGCCTTTTTCATTTTCATAATGCTATCATTTGATGAGCAGATATTTAAAATTTCGATAAAGTCCAATTTATTAAATTTTTAGTTTTACGGTTGATGATTTTGTTTCTTGTTCAAGAAATCTTTGCTTGCTTCAAATTTGCAAGGATATTCTCCTATCTGCCTTTTATAAGCTTTATGACTCTAGAGTTCATGTATAAGCTTATGATCTTGGCATTAAGTATCTCTTGTGAGGGAGTTAGTGCATTTTCCCCTGATAAGTTAACCTAGTACTTCCAGTTTTATCCAACTGTTTTAGCGCTGTTTTTAAAACAATCTTTTCCCCCTTGAAATGATTGTGGATCTAATTTTGGACTATTTTGTCTTTTGGTTTACTTGTCTATCCTTATACTAGCACCATACTATGAGATTTAGAGTAAATCTTGAAGTAGAGTAAGTCCTCCAACTCTGTTCTTCCCTTCTAAATTGTTTTTGGCTATTCTAAGTTGTTTGCATTTTTCATGTGAATTTTAAAATCATGTCAGTTTCCACAGAAATACCTTTAGGGTCTTTTGGGTTTGCATTAATTCTATAGGTCCATTTAGGGACTGATATCTTTTTTTAAAATATTTTTTATTAAGGTATTATTGATATACACTCTTACCAAGGTTTCACATGAAAAAACAATGTGGTTACTACATTTACCCATATTATCAAGTCCCTACCCATACCCCAATGCAGTCATTGTTCATCAGTGTAGTAAGATGCCACAGATTCACTATTTGCCTTCTCTCTGCTACACTGTTTTTAGGGACTGATATCTTAATGTTGAGTTTTCTCTATGAACATGGTATATTTATTCGGGTCCATTTATTCGGGTCTGCTGTAATTTTTCTCAGTAATGTTTTATAGTGAAGAGGTCTTGTACTCTTTTTGCTAAATTTGTTCCTAAGTATTTTATGTTTTTTCATGCTATTGTAAGTGAAACTGAATAAATTAATCTTAAAAATAATACCTCTTTATGCTTAGATATTTTCTTAGTGATTTTAAGGAAGTTTAATTATTATAAAAGCAGTAAATCATATTGTAAAAAGTTACAGAATATTGCTAAGTAAACATAAATAAAATGCCATATTTCCTTCACTAATAGCATTTGTATCTTTACTATATGGACACTGATATATGCATTTTTAACCACATGAGATCATACCATATAGGCTGTTTGGTAATCTACTTCTAACAAAATGAACCTCTAACTTTTCATGTTATTAACATTTCTTTCTACCTAAAATATAGTCCATGTTCAAGTTTCCCCAATTATCTATATATGCGCTTTACAACTGTTTGTCCAAATCAGAATCCAATACAAAAACGTAAATGCAAGAAGTGCATCTATCTGTTACATCCATGAGTCTCTTAATCTAACACAATCAGATACGGTGATTTCTATTATGATGGTTAGAACTTTATAAAGCATATCATAAAGGCCAATATAAAGATGAATTTTCTGCATTTAAGTACATGATTTTTAAGGACAAGGTATCTGGCATTAACACTATGATTTTAGGAGAACTAGTGATATAAATTAAAGTGAAATTAAGAAGAATAATTTCTGAAAAATAATGAATTATTTACATATAAAATTCTTCTAGATAATGTATACACTATTCCTCCATATTTTCTTAGGGACAAACATATTCGAAGCAGAAGCCAATGAAAAAATTTTAATTCCCTCATTTATTTTAAAGACATCAATGAAATTATCAGGATTTTCAAATATGCCAAAGAGAATTAATACGTTAAAGAATCAATAAGGTTAATTGTCATATGTCAGAGAGAGATCTCAAGTGGTTATAGGTTTTAAGCAAATTGAACAAGAATATAACTTTAAAAAGTTCTTAAGAAAAAAGAGGTAATAAGAAAACCACCTAGTGAATTAGGTATAGTTCTTCTATACAGGCTATTAAGAACTGTAGAAGGGGGCAAACTATTTCTATATTCTAATCATTCATTAAAAGATAGAGGCAAACAGTGGTTGACTGTCCTTGAAAAAAATACTTTAGTGACAGAAACTTTACTGTTACAGTGATCAGGTCCACTGGTACTGTGGTCCATTCTTAGAAGAGAGGTCACATTGGTATTCTCCATGACATCAATAGAAAAGAGAAATACAACTCTTTTTCTCACTAATCCAGCAAGTTCCTAGCTTTTTCTTTTGTAGCAGTTATTTTTAAAATCTATGTTGAATTATTCTTTGTTTAGTGTTATCTTTCCTAGTATACTGCCTGTTTAATAATGAGAATATGGCTTGGTTTCAAGAAATCAATAAACCCCTTGAAATTATGTAAAAATACATGTGTTTGTGCATTTTTCTAGTAAGTGAACAACTTTCAACAGATTCTCAGTGGGGTCCACAAAATTAAGAACCACTAAGACTGGCAGCTAGATTGACAGTTTTCCTAATACATTTAATTGACTGAGGCATAAAGTACTGTCAACTTTCAATTATAATGAAGAAAAGGCACTTAACTAAATGAAACAATATAATTCGCTTTGAAATGTAGAGATGTATTCTCTAAAAGTGTTCTTCAAATTGCAAAAATTGTGACCCATCTGTATTTAGCATTAAAAAAAACCACAATAGAATAAACAATATCACAGAGTACATTTCATAAAGATATTGTTTTATAAAACTTTTACTTCAGGTTTATATGTGTGTTTCTTGGTCATGATGTAAAATATATTTCTTATCATGGGTGATAGCCAAAAAGGTTGAAAAACACTGCTCTAAAGCCTGTTGATGTCTTTTGTGTTTTGCTTTAAACCTTCTTAATATGCTACTTCTATGGAAACTTGGAACCGAAAAAGTTATGATGATAAAATAATGATATTATTTTAAATGTTGGCACAGATTTGAAAAACAAAACTCTTCAGGGGCCAAACAAGTCTAAAGGCTAAACACAGACCACAGGCTGCTGGTTTGCCATCCAGCTTTAAGTTTATGCCAGACACACTAAGACACCCTAAGCTGAATGACACAGCCTAGGTGAAACCTTTATTAACTACAACCTTAGAAAGGCTGGTCAGTGGCATATGGAGAAGAATCTCAGCAGATACACCTTTAGCAAATGTAACTCCTCCCCTTTTTACTTTAGAAGCTTTGGAACATGTACACTAGCTTTCTCTGAATAGGTTCTTGTTATTCTGAGAAAAAAATTTCACAGGAAGTCCTGGGAGATAAGCCTGTATGGGTTAGGCAAGTGATTTAAAGGACAAATAATCAGTATAAACAAATAAGGAAGAAGTGAGTACGTTTATGTGACTTCAGGAGAAAATTGCCATTCAAGATTGAAGGAGTAAAAAGAATCTGCAGTACAGATGACAAAATTTTTATTTATTTCTTTATTATAGAAAGAAACATTCTGTGGTATGACACAACTGTCTTACAACTCCTTTTACAGGGGCATGGCATCTTTGATCAAGGTGAGATCTCAAGTCAGCTCTTAAAGTGAAAATTTGTGTATAGTCAAATTACCTTTGAAAACCCTGTAAATCACCCTAAGGCAGATGATTTTGTATATCATGTACTACTGCTCCATAAGTTCAACACAGTTAATTTTTGGTCCATTATTGGAATAGATACTGTGTCTTCAGTTATGCATTGAATCACAGCTGAAATTCTCAACTGTCAACCATTTAGGCCAGTTAGATATGAATGAAAAGTGTGATTTTGTCAAGGGGCAAACTAACCTAAGAGTTAGCCCTAGAAAAAGTAATGAATAAAATATCTAGAGAAGAAAGAGGCACTGGTCAGTTTCAGTGCTTAAGAAGATTAGAGATTCAGGAAAGTAAAAAGGACAGTCCTGTGGTTATCTTCCCAAACTACACAGGTACTCACAAACGGTTTAGAAAAATAAAACAAAAGATTTAATGCAGGATCTGTAACAGACTAAATGAGTCTTATAGAAATAGCTCTGTTTTATTCAGTAAAGCAACACAGAGAATGGAATGTTCTTATTAACACAGTTTCTTGTAGCCCAAGTTTTAAACCTACTTACAGGGATAGACAGCTAAGGTGCTCATCCCTGCTGTGGGGAGCAGCTACAGGTATTTTACTCCTCACCTACCTGTAGCTTTTAGTTTCTTTCTTTTCTGGGACGTAAATGCAATGGCTTATAGGTAATAATTTCAACTGTTTTTAATTTTCATTAGAAGTTAAGAAACTGGTATCAATTCACCAGGACCTAATCATTTCTGTTTTTGAACTTCTAAAACTGAGGATTAGGTTCTAAAACGAAGGCAGATGCTAAAGCTGTCTTATGGCATATAATAAGCAACACATGCATTTTTACTACAGACTATGATTATGTTTTTAATGGAACACAATCAACCAAGAACTGATGACTGGAGATTAGCCACAGCAGTAACTGTAAGAGCAACCAACAGGCTCAGACGCTCTGTTAAGTGTGCGACTGTCACACTGAATGTATACTTAGACAAAATGTTTTCTGTGGTTGAGTCATCAGTATGGAAATACTGGTAAAATAATTTAGAAGAAACTGACCTATGCTAAAGTCTGAGTTCAGGAAATTAAAAAAAATAACTGGGGCAAAAATGGATAGAGATTGTATTCACTATGAAAACACATAATTTCAATAACCAGGCAGGGAGGAACGATTTGAAAGTTAATTTTGTCAGCTCACTCTAACCAAACATTGGCTGGTGGCATAAACTGGCTCTCAAATGTTAAAAAATGATCTGGTCATCCAATGGTTGTTAGGACAATCTAAGCTTTGCAAGACTTAGTGGTCCTGTATGACTTACCGGTATGGACTGGCATTGGTACAGGAATCGGGCTCCTGCCACATGAGCTTGTGGGTTGGACTGGAGGCCTATATATGCCCACAATACCTGGATCTCCAGGGAAACTGGTAGGACACAGCAGGACACACAGTGTGCAGCCTGCAGAAGGGTAGAGAAACATCTGCTTGAATTGTTGATGGTTGCCTGTAGTCAGTCACTATGCATTAAGTAGCCATTATTTCCTAAAAATTATACAGTAACAGAGAAGGCAATGTGGCTTAGAGAAAGAACACAAAAATTCACAACGGACCACATTATTGTCCTTGATCTTAAAAATATTAATATTACTAACAGAGATTAGAAAAATGTGAGCCTATGAACAATGGTTACAGAAGTGCTCAGTAAGTGGTGCACTGTCAGTGTTGTGGAATGCTAGAATTAAAAAACAGTCATTTCTGGCGAAGGCTCCATGGAACTTGGATGAGTAACACATGACTGGAAGAAACAGTGATTAAAGGAAAATTCAGGTAAAGGGATGGCATATAAAAAGATGTGCAACCGGAACAGCACACAATGCCATGGAGGGACAGTCACTGATTAATCTAAATAATAGTTACTGAGTGTCTCGTAGGTGCCAGGCATATTTGAGGCACTGGCCTTGAGCAGACCACTTGACAAAAAAGGATTTGTATGCTGGGGCAGAGAAAGGTTAAGGAAGAAGACATTTCAGGGTTAGATCATAAATTTAAACCAAGTAGTTTGACTCTAGGAGGATTTATTACAAGATGCAACAAGGACTGATGGCAATGAGGACATCAATCAGGAGGTTACTGTAACTCAGCAGATGGTAACTATCCTCAACATGCTTTTCTACCTTCATATTCTTTTATAGTAACAGAGAATTCTTTTACAGTAAGGCACAGACATAGGCAATAACATGTATAAACAAGGAATAGGGGAAGACAGACCATATTTACGTTTAATTTATTAAGGAATTGTCAAACTGTTTCCCAAAGGGGGTGCACCATTTTGTAGTTCCACCAACAATGTCTGAAGATTCCAATTTCTCCACATCCTTGCCAACACTTGTTATTTTCCATCTTTTAAACTACAGCCATCCTAGTGGGTGTGAGGTGGTATTTTCAGTGTAGTTTTGCATTTCCTTAATGGCTCATGATATTGAACATCTTTTCATGTGTTTGTTTCAAATACTCTTAAGCTCTTTTCATTTATTCTACATTAGGAATACTATTCCATGCTGTCAAATGTGCTTTGAAAATGTGGCTTAAAAATGTAAATAGTAGATTTAAGAATAACAATGAGTAGTTCCACTATAATCTCAACCCTTGCCACTAACCATCCCATTCCTGTACTCAGCCATGTGTCACCGAAAACCATACTCCATCAGCATAGCTATATTTGAAGTTTAAGAGAACTCAATTTAATTTCAGTTGCCCAAAGGCTGGATCAGGTACTTGTGCTTACTTATCCCCTCAAGTCTCCTAAATATTCAAGGAATAAATTCATAATAATGCTGAAAAAGGAAAATAATCTCTAAGAGGAAAGGGCTTTCAAAGTCTGAACCAACACCCAAAGATAAAACAAAACAGAAAGACTGATAAATTTCACTATATAAAAATTAATTTCTACATGGTAAAAAAACACTATATACAAAGTTAAAAGACAAATGACAAATGGGGGAAAAAATCTGCTAATCAAACCACAAAAAAGAGCCAATTTTTTAAATACACAAAGATTTCCTACAACTCATAAGACAAGTAATTCAATAAAAATGGGCAAGGGACATAAACAGATCATAGTGGAGAAAACACAAATTGCTCAAGTGAAGAAAACACAAATTGCTCAACTGTATTTTTAGATACTCAACCTTATTCATAGTAAGAGAAAAATAAAACTACACTGGAATGCTATTTTTTCACTTATCAGATGAACAAAGATTAAGAAGTTTGATAACCATGTTGATGAAGGTATGGAGTAATAAGCAGTTTCACAGATGGATGTCGGGACTGTAAATTGGTACAACTGGTACGGAGAATAAATTGAAAGTACTAAAGCTTTACAATTATACCCTTTGATCTAGTAATTCTACTTCTAGGATTTATCTCATAGGTTTATTCTCACATGTAGGAAAAGGTGCCCAAATCAAAATGCTGTACTGTGTGTAATAGTAAAAAACTGAAAACAACTTGAATGTCCACCAGTAAGATTGGTTAAATAAATTATGCTTCATCCATACAAAGGAACACTATGCAACTATATTATGCAAAGGATAAAGAAGTTGATTGGGTACTGATATGGAAGAAACTTTCAGATCAAGTGAAAAAAGCAAGATGCAGAGCAGTGTTAATGATGTTAGTCATTCGGATAACAGAATCTAAGTATTTACTTGTGGGAGCGTGCAATTATCTCTGGAAGGAAGAAACGAGTAACTTTGGTTGCCTCTGTGGAAGGGAAGAGTTGTCTGGGAGAGAGATTTTTATTTTGTACATTTTGAATTTTGAGTCAAGTAGATGTATTACTTATAAAGAAAAATGAAGTTTTAAATTTTAAATGAAAAGAAATAAAATTAAAGGTACAGCCAACTCAAGTGAGGAGGGGGTAGGCAAAAGAGGAAGAAGATAGACTAGCACAGCAGATTTCCTTATTTTACTTAGACTGGAGTCAAGAGTTACACCTGCTGTGCAATGATCTAGTGGGCCACCAGAAAAAGTAAAAACAGAAACAGCTAACAAGGTTACTTCTGGGGTGGGGGGTGGGGGGTGTTGAGGTTTTTACTTTTTATTTCATACCAGTCTACCTGGTTTTAATTTTTAACCTGCTAATGTGTTTTTATTAAATGAAAACATTAAAATGTAAATTTTGGTAACAGAACAATTTCAACCCCAAAGAATCTGTGCTGACTAAATACTCAAGGATATAAGAGAGCATTTGAAATATATATGATACATGTTTATTTTTCTTTTATTATGAGTAAACTTGATTTTGAACCACAGAGCAATCTCTTGATTTCCTACCTTCAAATTTTTCTCCAAGTAAGGAATATAAGGTTAGGTACAAACCTAATCTGAAATAATGACTTCAATTGGGCATGATTTCTTGTATTCTTCCTTTTAGACAACTATGTCATCTATAGAACAGGGCTGGTTTTAATTTTAATATCCCTAATTTACAAACAAAAAAGGAAAGTGAGTCTTGGTCAGACTGTGAGTTTCTGTGCTTACTGAAACACTGCAGTTCCTGCTGAGGAGCTTGGTCCACGCTCCCTTCTGGGCTGGAGTAGCATTACCAAACACGGCAACATACTCTGGTCTGGGCCTTCCATGAAGAATCTGATAAATCTCCTGCTGTAAGTGGCTGCAGTTCATCTCTTTCAGCCTGAAATTAAATAGCATGGAAGTGGAGTCTAATGCTAAGTAATAATGTAACCATATAAAAATATTAATTCAAACATTTGAAATAATATTATAAAACAGAAGAAATAATTTCTTAGTAGGTATAAAGGACTGTCAGTAATATTAAAATTATTTAGATTATAAGACTATTCCAAGTATTCTCTGAACTCTCATTCAAGATATGACAGTAGCCCTATCGACATATTCTCTACAGACAGATACAGACTGTGGGTAATAATGTGGAAGCAAAGAATTACCTGAGTGTGCATCCAGATATTGTATTCACTCCAAATTGTATTTCGTGTCTCTTAGCAGAACAAGTTCCATCACCCTGGCTCTGCAAGAGGGTCATCTGAGGTAGGAGGCAATGGTTAAGGAGATCATGACAGAAAAAGAAAGAGGCAGACTGGAATATCTACGCTCTTGTTTCCTTAACACCATTTACATATTTTATTAATATCATGATATTGTCAAGTCAAAAACTTGTGTTTTTTTTTTAGTAATTAAAAAATGCATAGAGACAATTACTGTTCTTCCAAAAATGGTTAACCACACACCAGCATATAACCATCTCATTAAAACAAACAAAAATCAGACATATTCCTTACCTTTGGCCAGTCTAAACATAAATTTTAAAGGCTTTGGTAGCATCAACATTTGAGAACATAATGGATTAATGGGTGGGTACAGGAAGTCTTGAATACCTAAAAAATAGGGGGACCTCAGAACTGGAAAATACCAAAAGATCCACAGGGCAGCTTTACTCATTAGGCTGCAACAGACCACCTTGTTTTAATATCCCTAATTTTAATATCCCACCCAGCTCCAAAAAGGATACTGAGTGACTTGTATCACCTGTTAGAGCCAAGAGTGGCTTCCCAACAAGATAGCCAGGATTGCCACTTCTAGGACTGGTGAGAGAGGCAGCTGTGCTCTGTTGAAAAGCCTGCAGAAACAGGGAAGAGAAGTTACTCATTAAGAAAAGTACGTTCTCGCATCTTCCACTGCCTGGCTTCACACCCTTCTTTAAGGAGCAGTAAGCTAGCTGTACCAAGCAATCTGACATTTTCCACAGTGTAACATTTTGCAGAAATTTCTACTCCAATGTCTTTTACTTCTTTTTACTCACTAATATAAATCCTGAGTGATCTGAATATTGAAATTCACTACATGCTACTTTTACCAAGGATTACAGCCAAGAATCTATCAGTCCTGTTTCTCAAAAATTACTATTAATTTGGGGCTATATTCAGACTGACTGAAATGAGAGGAATTTAAATGTAATTTAGAAATATGTTTTAATTAAGTATAGTTATGCCGGAGATGAACTCTGAAATGCATGAGACTTGGTTGATCACTGAGGGTCAGTTGAGAAAAAATCTGACTCTGCTAAGTGAAAAAGAAAACATAGAAGAAAGCGTTCTTGGTGAACAAGACTGGAAATTTAGATTAACTGAGAAATGAATAAAACACTGAATACCATCACATTATATTTTTACATGTTCATAAATACACATAGACAAAAATTCATGCTCACTATAAGCATGTAAGCTCAAATAGTACAGAAATAGAGTAAAAGTAGCAAAAAAAAAAAAAAAAACCCCACAAAACCCACCAAATGCCCAGACTAGAAATATGAGAAAAGCTAATCAAAGAATTTCTGTGGGATGTTAGCTAAACTTATGAAAATGGCCATTTATAAAACCAGTTTGGGTTTGAGATTGAAGTCTTGCTTTGTTGGGGGCCAGATAGAGAATCAGAGAAAATGTTAAAAAACACTGTTGAATTCCCATCACTAGTTAATGGTGGAATATTTAATGCTGAGGCCACAACTGACAGACTGAAATAGGCCTTCATTATTCTATTTAGCATGTGTGACAGAAGTGGAGGCACTATTTCTAACCTGACATTTCTTCCCCTCACAATCCCTGACAGAAGGGCCCTCACCTTGAAGCGAATGATGAACTGTTGCTGTAAGGAAGTGCCTGGCTCAACAGTCAGATTGGTTTGTCCAAAACTGACAGAAACTTTCTGGACTCCAAAAGTTCCATTGGTCTCTACCTCATAGATGACCTGAAATACAAAAGGAGAATCAATTAAGAAATTATTTAGTGGGCCAATTATGGTTAGGACAGAAGATTTTCTGTTTTTAAGGGTTTTGTTATAACTGAATAAGGGTACACAGCACAGTATACTATAGCTAAACATAGGGTATTGTATATTTGAAAGTTGCTAAGAGTATAGATTTTACAAGTTCTCATTGCAAGAAAAAAATTTTGTAACTGTAGGGCAATGGATGTTAAATAAACTTGTGGTAATCATTTCATATTATATACATTTATCAAATCATTATGTTGTACACTTAAAACTAATGTTATATGTCAATTATATCTTGATTAAAAAAAAAACTGATTGAGGGAGACTAAATAATCTTAAAAATGCCAAACATACATACCATGAAAAGATAACACTGACTTCATATTATGTCTATACACGAAAAAAAAGACTGGATAGAACTATTAGAAAGGGTTCACAGGAAAGGTAAGTTTACATTAAGAATTAAAAAGGAAGGAAGATAAGTTTCGATTGTGCTCAGAGGAAGGTGAGTAGGGGCAGACATGAGCGTGGAATGGAAGCCTGGTTTACTTGGCTCTCCCAGTGTCTGAGGATGAATAAAGATAGTAGCTGGAAATGGAAGTCATTAAGCAAGTGAAGGTAACCTTACGTTTCTGAGCATAGTCTTTAAAATGGTGTTTTGTTTTGTTTTTTTACTCCTGTAGGTTGATTAGAAGTGAGAGAACAGAGGAAAATAAGTTGACTAGTCTATTTCAGATTTTAAGATGATACTGACTTTGTCAAAGAAGAAGATGTGGTAAGAACTTTAACAAACACCATGTGGGCAAAACAAGAGGAGTGAGAAATAATCTTATTGTTCTGGATATGAAAAACCAAAGGATGACAGCAATGGAAACAAACGACTGAAATATGGTATGGTGGAAGGTGATGGACTCAATTCTTGACATGTTAAGTTTCAGGTAATGCACAGTAAGTCATGTGGGGTTGGTCGGGTACTTAATGGATGATGGAGGCGCTGCTGATAAAGCTGATCAACATACACCAGTTCAGAATCCGAGGTCTGTGTCCCTACCTGGGAAACAACATTCTGACAAGTGTTTTCAGCCAACAGAGGAGAACCAGCCTGTGAGACAAGTGTTACAGGAACCTGGAGCTAGCAAGGGAAAGAGGCATATAACTCAAATTGAAAGCAGCATTTTCTCTTCCAGCTACATATCATGCTGAATTGAGTATAATCATTATTTTTTAAATTTTGGTATCATTAATCTACAATTACATGAAGAACATTATGATTACTAGGCTCCCCCCTTCACCAAGTCCCCCCTACATACCCCTTCACAGTCACTGTCCATCAGCATAGTAAGATGCTGTAAAATCACTACTTGTCTTCTCTGTGTTGCACAGCCCTCCCCGTGCCCCCCACAACACTATACATGCTAATCGTAATATCTCATTAAAACAAACAAAAATCAGACATATTCCTTACCTTTGGCCAGTCTAAACATAAATTTTAAAGGCTTTGGTAGCATCAACATTTGAGAACATAATGGATTAATGGGTGGGTACAGGAAGTCTTGAATACCTAAAAAATAGGGGGACCTCAGAACTGGAAAATACCAAAAGATCCACAGGGCAGCTTTACTCATTAGGCTGCAACAGACCACCTTGTTTTAATATCCCTAATTTTAATATCCCACCCAGCTCCAAAAAGGATACTGAGTGACTTGTATCACCTGTTAGAGCCAAGAGTGGCTTCCCAACAAGATAGCCAGGATTGCCACTTCTAGGACTGGTGAGAGAGGCAGCTGTGCTCTGTTGAAAAGCCTGCAGAAACAGGGAAGAGAAGTTACTCATTAAGAAAAGTACGTTCTCGCATCTTCCACTGCCTGGCTTCACACCCTTCTTTAAGGAGCAGTAAGCTAGCTGTACCAAGCAATCTGACATTTTCCACAGTGTAACATTTTGCAGAAATTTCTACTCCAATGTCTTTTACTTCTTTTTACTCACTAATATAAATCCTGAGTGATCTGAATATTGAAATTCACTACATGCTACTTTTACCAAGGATTACAGCCAAGAATCTATCAGTCCTGTTTCTCAAAAATTACTATTAATTTGGGGCTATATTCAGACTGACTGAAATGAGAGGAATTTAAATGTAATTTAGAAATATATTTTAATTAAGTATAGTTATGCCGGAGATGAACTCTGAAATGCATGAGACTTGGTTGATCACTGAGGGTCAGTTGAGAAAAAATCTGACTCTGCTAAGTGAAAAAGAAAACATAGAAGAAAGCGTTCTTGGTGAACAAGACTGGAAATTTAGATTAACTGAGAAATGAATAAAACACTGAATACCATCACATTATATTTTTACATGTTCATAAATACACATAGACAAAAATTCATGCTCACTATAAGCATGTAAGCTCAAATAGTACAGAAATAGAGTAAAAGTAGCAAAAAAAAAAAAAAAAACCCCACAAAACCCACCAAATGCCCAGACTAGAAATATGAGAAAAGCTAATCAAAGAATTTCTGTGGGATGTTAGCTAAACTTATGAAAATGGCCATTTATAAAACCAGTTTGGGTTTGAGATTGAAGTCTTGCTTTGTTGGGGGCCAGATAGAGAATCAGAGAAAATGTTAAAAAACACTGTTGAATTCCCATCACTAGTTAATGGTGGAATATTTAATGCTGAGGCCACAACTGACAGACTGAAATAGGCCTTCATTATTCTATTTAGCATGTGTGACAGAAGTGGAGGCACTATTTCTAACCTGACATTTCTTCCCCTCACAATCCCTGACAGAAGGGCCCTCACCTTGAAGCGAATGATGAACTGTTGCTGTAAGGAAGTGCCTGGCTCAACAGTCAGATTGGTTTGTCCAAAACTGACAGAAACTTTCTGGACTCCAAAAGTTCCATTGGTCTCTACCTCATAGATGACCTGAAATACAAAAGGAGAATCAATTAAGAAATTATTTAGTGGGCCAATTATGGTTAGGACAGAAGATTTTCTGTTTTTAAGGGTTTTGTTATAACTGAATAAGGGTACACAGCACAGTATACTATAGCTAAACATAGGGTATTGTATATTTGAAAGTTGCTAAGAGTATAGATTTTACAAGTTCTCATTGCAAGAAAAAAATTTTGTAACTGTAGGGCAATGGATGTTAAATAAACTTGTGGTAATCATTTCATATTATATACATTTATCAAATCATTATGTTGTACACTTAAAACTAATGTTATATGTCAATTATATCTTGATTAAAAAAAAAACTGATTGAGGGAGACTAAATAATCTTAAAAATGCCAAACATACATACCATGAAAAGATAACACTGACTTCATATTATGTCTATACACGAAAAAAAAGACTGGATAGAACTATTAGAAAGGGTTCACAGGAAAGGTAAGTTTACATTAAGAATTAAAAAGGAAGGAAGATAAGTTTCGATTGTGCTCAGAGGAAGGTGAGTAGGGGCAGACATGAGCGTGGAATGGAAGCCTGGTTTACTTGGCTCTCCCAGTGTCTGAGGATGAATAAAGATAGTAGCTGGAAATGGAAGTCATTAAGCAAGTGAAGGTAACCTTACGTTTCTGAGCATAGTCTTTAAAATGGTGTTTTGTTTTGTTTTTTTACTCCTGTAGGTTGATTAGAAGTGAGAGAACAGAGGAAAATAAGTTGACTAGTCTATTTCAGATTTTAAGATGATACTGACTTTGTCAAAGAAGAAGATGTGGTAAGAACTGTAACAAACACCATGTGGGCAAAACAAGAGGAGTGAGAAATAATCTTATTGTTCTGGATATGAAAAACCAAAGGATGACAGCAATGGAAACAAACGACTGAAATATGGTATGGTGGAAGGTGATGGACTCAATTCTTGACATGTTAAGTTTCAGGTAATGCACAGTAAGTCATGTGGGGTTGGTCGGGTACTTAATGGATGATGGAGGCGCTGCTGATAAAGCTGATCAACATACACCAGTTCAGAATCCGAGGTCTGTGTCCCTACCTGGGAAACAACATTCTGACAAGTGTTTTCAGCCAACAGAGGAGAACCAGCCTGTGAGACAAGTGTTACAGGAACCTGGAGCTAGCAAGGGAAAGAGGCATATAACTCAAATTGAAAGCAGCATTTTCTCTTCCAGCTACATATCATGCTGAATTGAGTATAATCATTATTTTTTAAATTTTGGTATCATTAATCTACAATTACATGAAGAACATTATGATTACTAGGCTCCCCCCTTCACCAAGTCCCCCCTACATACCCCTTCACAGTCACTGTCCATCAGCATAGTAAGATGCTGTAAAATCACTACTTGTCTTCTCTGTGTTGCACAGCCCTCCCCGTGCCCCCCACAACACTATACATGCTAATCGTAAGGCCCCCTTTCTTTTTCCCCACCCTTGTCCCTCCCTTCCCACCCATCTTCCCCAGTCCCTTTCCCTTTGGTAACTATTAGTCCATTCTTGGGTTCTGTGAGTCTGCTGCTGTTTTGTTCCTTCAGTTTTTTCTTTGTTCTTATACTCCACATATGAGTGAAATCATTTGGTACTTGTCTTTCTCCATCTGGCTTATTTCACTGAGCATAATACCCTCTAGCTCCATCCATGTTGTTGCAAATGGTAGGATCTGTTTTTTTCTTATGGCTGAGTAATATTCCATTGTGTGTATGTACCACATCTTCTTTATCCATTCATCTACTGATGGACATTTAGGTTGCTTCCATGTCTTGGCTATTGTAAATAGTGCAGCGATAAACATAGGGGTGCATCTGTCATTTTCAAACTGGAGTGCTGCGTTCTTAGGGTAAATTCGTAGAAGCGGAATTCCTGGGTCAAATGGTATTTCTATTTTGAGTATAATCATTTTTAACCATTATCTTTCTCTCTCCTTCCATTGCCAGCCTACAACTGAGGTTCAGAAATCATTCTAAATCAATCAGCACTTCTCAAAACATTTTTTCCCAGACATTAATTCTATCAGATATAAAATAAAGGTTTCATGATCACATAAGTTTTAGGAATACCATATTTAATATTCCCACTTAGAGATTAACAAGGCCTTATAGCATATTCTAGCATATTAAGGACTCCAAGAAGTACACCTTAGCTATAGTGCTTAACTTTATTTAACTCAATGTTTCTCAAACTTACCTTACACCTTATGAATTCTTATTTCATGATGGTTATTACTCACAGAACACACATGGGAAAACACTGTTTTAGATTCATAATTAACAGTCTGATCTATCATACATACAATTTCTTTCACCACTACAATCTAGACTCAAATTGCCTCAGATAAATGCAAAGGGACCAAATATTCCCTTCCCTTTTTCCTGATAAACAGCATCATACCTTTATATTCTGCAGATCAGTCATACTTCTTGGAACCTAGAATAAGAGAACAGCAAGAACATGAGTGTGCATATACTTAAGGGAAAATCTCCAGGAGCTTATGGTTTTACATTTGGAGGTAAAAAAAAAAAGCAACACATTAGATGGTAGGAATGTACATGGGTGCAGCCACTATGGAAAGCAGTATGGCAATTTCTCAAAAAACTAAAAATAGAAATGCCATGTGACCCAGTAATCCACTTGCAGGAATTTACCTGAAGGATACAAAATCACTAAGTTGAAAAGTTCTCCCCACCCCTGTTTATTGCAGCATTATTTACAGTAGCTGAGATAGGGAAGCAACCTAAGTGTCTACTGATAAATGAATTGATAAGGAAGATACATAGACACAGTGCAATACTACTCAGCCATAAAAAAGAAATGCAATCTTGCCATTTGTGAAAATACGGATAGTGGACCTAGAGAGTATTATGCTAAGTGAAATAACTCAGAGAAAGACAAATACCACATGATTTCACTTACATGTGACACCTAAAAACAAAACAGAAAGACTCATAAACACAGGGAACAGACTGGTGGCTGCCATAGGAAGCAAGGTGAGGGAAAGGGCAAAATAGGTGAAGGAGATTAAGAGGTAAAAAACTTCCAATTATAAAATAAATTATTCACAGGGAATGAAAGTACAGAATAGGGAATACAGTCAATAATATTTTAATATCTTTGTTGACAGAAGGTAACATTTATTGTGGTGAGCATTTAGTAATGCATATAATTGTTGAATCACTATGTTGTACAACCGAAACCACTATAATATTGTATATCACCTATTTTCAATAAAAAAAGTTGCTTAACCTCAAAAAAAATTCACATACTAGAATGTTCACTTCCTCTCTTCTACTTGATTCTTCTTTATACTAAAATGCTGAAAGGAAAGTGGAGGGGAGGTTGGATGGTCTGTGACGTCCACTGACTCTGAGCAGACCTCTACTGAACAGCAGAATCAAGAGGTTTTGGTGACAGTGAAATGTCACCCCCTCCCACCCTGCGAAGCCCATCCCACTGGCCAGGAGGGTGAGAATCTCTCACCCTGGCTATTCAGATGACAGGGTTTCCAGGCCCCCTGCCTCTCATGTGGCTATTGGGCATTCTGACTTCCAGTTCTGTGCTTTCTCCATAACCGAACACTGGGAAGCATGTTGACATTAAACCAGTGGTGACAGTGGGGAAAGAAAGGACACCCACCTTCAAGACTGTGAAGTTATAGTAAGAGGCAGCATTGAGGGCTGGGTCCAAGGTGCAGCTATTTGCTAAGTTCTTGAAGAAACGAGCACAGGTTGTACTTTTACTCTCTAGGAAACCTTAGAACACAAGGAATTAAGGAAGTGGTAAATGAGAAAGCCTATTTTAAATTGGACAAAAAGGTTGGCACTTCTGCTCTGGACTCACCTGCAGGATTGCTTTCGGCACAGAGCCCCCCAGCTCCAACTCCTGCAGGCTGCATCAGAAAGCTTATCACAGACCACTTGGGGAAGTAAGTCAAAATGGGATCCCCAGCCTATACAAAATACAGCAGAAATTTATTCATAGTGAGATTGTACTGAAATCCACCAGAAAAGAAAAAGTAGAAACAAAAACTGACTCAACAGTTTGTTAATGTGGACACCACTCCAAAAGCCTTTCAAAAGAGCTGACGACGGTTTACCTTTTTGCAGTGGTGTACCTCAAAGATACCTGGTCAATTGTCAGCTATGAGGGAAAAACCAAATCAAACAATCCCATCCCAATCCAATCCCTGGCTCACCCTGTAAAAAGGCTGCGGTGACTGGGTTTGGAATGTTGAAGTGAATGATTCACCTCCAAATTCTGTAGCCAGGACCTGGAAGTTGGTTGCATTGACCTTTTGGAGTTTCTGGAAATAGTTTAATTTTGCTAAAATGTTTTTAAAAAGAAAAGGGATTTAGATAAAAGAAAAACATTAAAAAATATCTGGCATATCAAGTAACTAATTTTTAAAGATATTGTTATTGAACATGATATATACACAATAAATAAGCAAATACACCAATCTTAGGTATAGATTCAAAAGAACTTTTACAAATTTATATACAATTACTACTACTCAGATTGAGTTATAGAACGTTTTCTCAGAAGATTTCCAATCAGTACTCCATCTTCAGAGATATGACTTTGATTTCTATCACCTTCTAATTTACTTATAATCTGTTAAATGAATTATTGTTTTAGTATTAAAATCTGAGATAAGAATGTGGCCAATGAATGCCAGTCATTCCCAGTTTCTAATGCCAGGAATGTATAAGATTAGCAATTTGTGATGAAAATGGGAGGCTCCTATACCAGATGAGTCTCTAGTGCAATAAAATAGTGTCTTCTTTGGAACATGGAAAGTTGGTGGCCATATTTTATTTTTCCTCTCCAAATCTTTCTGTTTCCTCTAAACTTCAATGGCCAGTCCTAATAATGTTTCTCTCTCTCAAGTACATGGACTTTCATGTTTTATTCCTTTCACCTTATAATTTCTACATTCAAAATTTCAGACATCTTAAAGGGGTATTTTCTGTAACAACTCTATAATTTATATTCTAACATTGTATAATGTATAAATCTATCCAAGCTCCTGCAGCCATCAACTTACAGCACTTCAGAACCTGGACAGAGATGTAGGAAAAGGCCTCTAGCGTTGCCCCCTATTCAGAGGGTGGCTGGTGATGGACAACTCTGCTTTGCCACCCAAGTCCTTTGCTAATTTGGAAAATGAATGTAACAGAAAATGCCCCATGCTAATAAGTCCTTTCATTCTGCATATAATTATGGTCATTTGGACAGATTCAAAAGGTATCAAGATCTGTATCAGGACTCCACATTACAAAAGCTAGAACTTTATCCTCTGCAATCACAAAGTCATATTAATTATTTGACATTTCATCTTTCTGAAAGAGTATGAAATTAACACAACTCTCAATTCTGGGGACTTTCAGACTACTCACTCTCTTCATATCTCCGAGAGCTTTGCTACTCAAACTGTGGTGCACAGACAGGCAGCCGCTGCATCACCTGGTAGCCTGTCAGAAACTCAGACTCTAAAGTCACTCCCCAGACCTAATGAGTCAGAACCTGCATGTTCACAAGTGCTTCAGGTAATGTGCATGCCTGTTAAGAGTTTTAAAAGCCCTGCTCTGGAACACATGATGCTGGCGTTGCTGGTCTGCAGACCACTTTCTTTTGTTCTGAGGTCTTTAAACTTTAAAGCTTCCAGGAACTATTTAACATTTCTTTCAGAACTCATACCCTGAAAACCACATGGAAGAAATACTTACCTCATGTGAAATGTAGTTATTTCTATCCTTTTAGATGAAAGAAAAGTTAAAATAAGCTGAGAAAGGAGGTGAGATGGCAAATAACCATCTGGCTATTTTTTCATGGCTTAAAAGAGTAAGGGAAAGCTAACATTTTGCCTCTCACTTTAGCACAGGGATATTGGTGGGAAGCAGGGATGCTACAGATAAGGAGCATATAGGCTAAGGATAATAGAATTTCTGCCTAAACTTCTGCAATCATGCATGGTGAATATTACACCTAACAGAACTTAAAGGTATTTAGACTTAGACGGATTCAATTTCAGATGTGGAAGAAAGTCTAGTGACTATCTGGCCTGATCCCATCAGAAACTCTGGATCCTGAGAGGTAAATGAACTGCAACAGGCCACAGAGCCATCTGGCAGAGTCAGGAATAGATCAAAGATCTCCTGATTCCTGGTCTAGGGCTCTTCCCATTCCATCATGCTGTATAGACTTTTGATCATTATCAGCAAATACTAAGCACTGTGGGCAAACAAAGATATAGTCCATCTTCTCTAGGTGCTGACAATTTATCTGGGGAGACATAATGTTCATATAAACTGATAATAATTCAAAATATCCTATAGTGTTCAAGAGAGTAACTCAGGTGTTGTTGGCGAAGTTCAGAACCACTGATCCAAAAGCAGTGGCAGGATGGTTTGGGAGGCAAGGTGGGGAGTAAAAGCAGGGAGCACCAATTAGACACTATTGCAATAGGGCTGGAGCTAGAAGGCGTGGAAGATTTGGAAAGGATAGGGTAGCCATTGTGAGTCCCCCCAAACCAAAAATGGGTGTTTCATGAAACAAATACAGTTTGGAGATTCTTTTCTAACAGTCAGATGAAATCAGGATGAGTTGAAGTTTAGGGTGTAAGGGACATTTAAGTCTGTTTTGTGTGAGAACATATTTTGCTTCTTAGAAGCGAAAAAAAAGATAAATTAGCTTCATATCTTCAGAAATGTTATAGCTCTCACTGGCAAATTTCTAAGCCCATTAAAAAACCTTAATAATAACCACCCCACATTTTTTTTTTTTGCTCTTCACAGTTATAGTGCCCTTTCACATTCAGGGCTAGTGATATTCTCATTCTGCAGTTGAAGAAGTGAGACTGAAAATGCTAAGGGATTTGTCTGAGTCTGTGTAGATGGTAAGTAAATGGCAGGGCTGAAATTCAAGTCTAATGATCTTTCTCCAATGCTATTGCCTCAGGGAATAAAAACAAGGTTGGTATAGACTTATTTGTCAAAGACATTGATTCTAGTATTATTTGGTGCCTCCTATATTTCAGGCACTGAGTGCCTTCATGGAGATTGTAGCAAGTTGGGGAATACAGTCTGTAATTTTCTGAGCTGACAGGGATGACTGAAATAAAAATTCTGTATGGGTTTTCCGACCCAAAACCAATAGGGTGTAAGCTGAAAATGTTCACTAATATGAGAAAAAAATGGGGAAGGTGGAGATGTAGAAGGACAGGGAAATGATATTCAAAAGACAAAAAAAAAAGTTTAAAAAGAAAGAAAAGGAATAAAAGGCCGGAGACAAAGCTAACTTTCAGCAAGCGTTAGGCAGTAAGAACAAACAACATGTATTTACTCACGGTTGTTCACATGGACACAAAACTGCCTAACTCCATTTGTACCCATGAAGACTCTTGAAGGAAATGGGGAATTACTTCTGAAGATAAGAGAGTTGTCCACACACACCCAACTTGAAGCCCTGTGAGGAAATAGAATGGAGAATAAATACATTTAGAAGCAGAGATTTAGGTCCAAAGAAGAGTGCCTTGTGAATGTCAGTGAAATGCAAAAGAGAGGATTCCTCGGACAGCCACAGGACAACACAAAGGTCCTATGCTGTCGGGCAGCCCTGCTCTAGAGAATCCGAAGAGTAGCGTCACTCCTGGGAAAAACCAGAGGGGATGTGCGGTGGAAAGCAGGAGGGCTAAATCTTCCTATTTCTAAATATTACCTATTCTAGGGTCCCAGTCCCCTCTAGGATTCATGCGTGCCGCAGCTCACCTCACGCTGCCTGGAAGACAGAAGGAGAAAACTGTCCTCGGATGGGGAAGATAGCAGTCCTTGTCGCAGCAGCAATTTATATCGCAGGTACCAGGAGTCAAGTCACAGATACAGATCGGTAAGACTATGAAGGTACAACATAAATCAGAGAGAATGGGGTGAGGATCCCCAAATTCTTCCAAGTGCGAATTTCCCTCTTCCGACAACCCCACTTCTCGCTCTGTGGCAATTCATTTTGTTCACAGAATTTTAGGTCTAAGTCAGTTGCTCCTTCCCACATCTTCTCCCCTCACCTGGGAAGAGGTCCACGGTCCTATTCCCCGGGGCGGAAGGGGTCACGACAGTAGCAAAGGTTCCAGGCACAGCCCCCGGAGATTCAGAACCCTCCGAGGAGGACTGAGGGGTCGCCCCCTGAGACCCTAGCCCCAAGTCCGAAGGGGTGGGCACTGCCTCTGACTGGGAGGAAAACGACTGAGGCCCGACGCCCTCGGGAACCATAAGGAGGAACAGCTGCAGAAGCACGAGCTGCGAGGTGCACATGGAGCCGCCGAGAGCTCCCCAAGAGCTTAAACGTGCGTTTCGGGGATAGCCAGACGCGGACCAAGTGGGCGGGTGGGAGCAGTCTCATAGTGTCTGACGTCATCCGTATACCTCAATTCATTGGCTCATGGCGATGGTGGAGAGCTCTTCAGCCAATAGAAAGGGGCGTTGTTACAGCTCTTTCGGCATCTTTTCATAGGCGCCCTCCTCCTTATGCTTGGCCCCGCACAGCTTCCGTAGCCTGGCAACCGCCAAACCAGCGAAGGAGCCCTTGCTCCTTCCTTCCGCTAGGTGACAGTACAAGTTCAGCGGACCTGAGCCCTTTCTGGGTAAAGGAAAACTCGAGGCTGGAACTAAGGTTACATGTTTTCCACCTCGGATTCTAACGGTGACAAACCCTTTCTGCGGAAAGATAATGATCTCAGGGAGAAAAACCGGAGATCACGTACCTTAAAAATTCTCATCTAAATACTGTACTTTTTTGGAAACAGAAAAAATTTAAAATTTAAAACTTCAATACATGCATCAAATCATGAAACGTTGCAGAGTTACTAGAAAAAAGTGAGAGAAGTGGGGTGAGAAATGGGGTAGGGAAACGTGAAAAGAGGGAAAGGGAGTAAAGAAAGGAGAGAGATTTTCTGGGAGATGAGAAAATAAGCTGCAGGAACAGAAATAGCTAAGGGACAGAGAATAAAACTTGTTTGTTGCTATTATAGTCACCACTTTTTGTAACCCTCTTTAGGAAGTTTTGTTTTTCCCAGGAGTGGTGTACCTCCTTGAATTCTCTAGAACAGCACTGTCCAAAACAAATTTCTGCGATGTTGGGAATATCCTACAGCTGCATTGCTCCATATGGCAGCCACACTACATGTGGCTACTGCACACTTGAATGTGACTAGTGTGACTAAGGAAGTGAATTTAAAATTTTTAATTAATTCAACGTGAAATGACAATGTGTGACTAGTAGTTGCCATATTGGACAGTTGATCACAACTCTTGGTGATCAAAATTTTGCTTCTCCTATACCCAGTGTTGTCCTCAGTCTGCATAGTTCTGACATCTAGGTTATTTCAGTAGCTTGGTATGGGTATATAACTGAAGATCTGTTAAAGAGTTATCTAAAATCTAGTACTTACCTAAATTCTAGCCAAGATGTCCTTTTTCAAGTGAATCACTTAGGCAGATATATTTGAGGATACCTGACCTTACATTCTCTGACAAGGCATTTCTAATGTATTATTTTGACATCAGGAGCTAAATGTATCTCTGTGTTATAAATGTGCTCAAATTTTTATATGATTGTGTGATGGGCTGCTATAAAAGATACTGTATTTGTTTTGGGGTATAAAACATTTATCTACTTTATTAATAATTTCAAAAAGAAAAGACCAAGTTCAGATGATTAAAGTTGTGTGTATTCACTAGAATGTAAACTCCACAAAACAGGGATTTTTGTTTGTTTTGTTCACTGATATATGTCATGCCTGGAACAGTGCCTAGGACATACATTAAATATTTTTTACAAGATTATTTTGTTGAATTCTTTAGATTTAACTCTTAAAAATATTTAGAGCTTATATTATTTCAGGATTACATTTCTTTATATAAAATTTCTATTGTGCAACCAATTGGAGATTTTAGATTTTAAAAGTTTGGAATGTACTCACTAATTTTCAATCTATGGTTTATCAGTGACAATTCCTAAATTTATTAGTGTTGGTAAAAGCATTTGTTGATTGAAGAACTTTATGGTTGAGTGTAGGGAAATAATATTTTAGGGTCTCCCTGCGTTTCTTTGCTCAGTTTTGAAATTTTAGTACTTTATAATTTTCTAGAATACTTTTAATCCCTACTTTTTGTTAGAGTTGAGCAAAAATATTATTCATATTATTGTTGTTCCATGTTTTCAGGAATCTAATACAAAAATCAATTCTTTTGAGATCTAATATTAAAATCTGAAAGATAATTTTGAGGAAGGAGAATGAAATGTATTCACATAGGTCATGCAGATGCTAGCTTTAACATGAGGACCAAGTGCTAAATTGAAAGAGCTTAATATGACATCAGCTTAGAAGCAGAAATTTCCAAATTAAATCATATGATACTAGCAGCTGTCTGTGCTTGGTATTAAAGGAGTTTAATATGTGCTTAGAAATTTAGCTGAGACTGAGTGAAAATGAAAATAAGTTTTAGCCTCTTCCCTCTCTCCAAAATCTCTAAAAATTATAGAAAAGTTACATGAAAACACACAGTCATGTGCATCCATGCACAAACCTTGATATTGAAAAATCTGAAGGGGTGCTTTCAGTGGGCCAGACATGAGAACGCTGAAAAATAGAAGGCAGATGGTATTGCACTGAAAGTGGACAAGCAGAAATTACATAATAGAGGCTAAATATAAAAGTGGGAGTAGCTTTTGGGGATCTTCTAATCACACAGAAAGAGGTTACTGGTATCACTAGGGCCCTTGGACAATTGTGTGCATTATTGATTAAGTCACCACTGTAGGAAGAGCCAGGTAGGCCAGCCTCTTAACCTTATTCCAAGTTGTGTGTGCTGTGGGTAGCAGAAGAATTTTTTCCTAAAAGGAGCAAAGTCCATGTAGGCATTTTTTGCTGAAAAGCTCTGAATGGCTTTTGAGGTCTGGGAGGAGGAGAGAGATCACACATCTTGGAGACTGGGGTATAAAACATCCTCTTCTTGTCAAGGCACTACCTCTTCTTCTCAAGCTGCATATCCAAGTCCCTCCTCCCCAGATCCTGGAAGCAGAATACAAAGAGAAAAATCTACAAAAAGCATAGGTTAAAAAGACATATTACCTTTAAAAGAACAACAGTAAGACTCACAACTGACTTTTTAACAGAAGTAAGGAAAGCTATAAAAAGTAGAATGTCTTAAAGAAGGTAACCTAGAAATCTATACCCAGCAAAATATCCTTCAAAACTGAAGATAAGATAAAAATGTGTTTAGAAAGTAAAAACAGAAAAAAATCACCACCAACAGACCCACACAATGAATTGCTAAGTTATTCAGGCTACTGGAGAAATTATCCAGATGGATGCACAGAAGCAGGAATACATTAAGAGCAATGGAAAGGATAAATACAAAATCAGTATATAAAAATTGTATTCCTAAACTATAACAATAATAAATTAGAAAATTTAAAGTTTTAGATGATAAAATATATAATAATATGAAACATTAAACACCTGGGAATAAATCTAAATTAGTACAAGATCTCTACATATCAAACTATATAATATTTCTGAGAGGAATGAAAGAAAACCTAAATAAATGGAGGGCTAACCAAATTGATGGCTAGGAAGACTTATTAATGAAAATATGTCAGTTCTTCCCAAATTGATCTGTAGATTCAGCTCACTCCATGTAAAAATTTCAGCATATTTGGTAAAAATTGACAAGTTGATTTCAAATTTTATATGTAACTGCAAAGGGCCACGAATAGCCAAGAGAATCTTGAAGAATGAAGTTGTAGGGCCTATACCTACTATGTATCACCTCTGATTATTAAGGTAAAATAATTAGTAGATACAATGGTATAGCTTTGTCTCCAAAATAGACAAATAGACCAATAGAAAAGAATGGAGTCTATCCACTGACAGCCCTAGCAATCAGGCTACGACCCAGCCCACCTTGAGGACAGGGCAGGTGATGCAAGTCCACACCCCTAAGTTTTTTCACGTTCTCGAAAAATTCTCAACTGCCTATAAAACCCCCTAGACAATGCACCACTATGGACTCTCTTGTCCCCTCCTGGCGTGAGCCAGGAGCTCTTCCCTCTCACTTTATTTCTGAATAAAAGCCTGTACCTTGCTCTCCTAGCTTGACTGTTTATGAAGCTCATTCTTTGGCTTCGTGAACAAGAACCTCGGCATCAATGGCTTTTGCCAAGAAAACAAAGGCACAGAGTGGACATGGAAATTGGCAGTGCATGTCAACAAACATCCAGGATAGGGTCAGCCCAACCACACTCAGTAGATATCACTGACCTGGGACACAAGGATTCAACCAATGATCTGGTGGTGGACACCAACACAGCAAGGAACATGTGCCAGGGGAGACCCCCACCCAACCATGCCATGCATCACCTGAGTTTCTCATATGCCAATGGCCATTCTGGGAGAGAGGAGAGGAAAGGTTAGAAAATCAGAAATTCCGAGCACTTACCTGGAAGAGATTGACACAAAAAAAGGAGGCTGCCTTTCCCAGCACAGACAGGGGGCTTGAGGTGATCTGATACATGGGCACATACAGAAAATAGCCTCTGGACTGAATAGCAAATAGAATCTCCCTCACCTTACAATAACACTCACTGCCAAAGCTTTGACAATACTGGAAAATAGGGGGTGTTTCCATGTTATTCCTCAACTACTAACATAGCCTGCAGACTCAGAGGTTTCAAACTAGTTGAGAAAATCAGATCAACCAATATTTCAGATATGAATGATTAATGTACTAGAGTATCATTATGAGCATTTTGTTTGCATGCCTAACATTCCAAAAGCTGCTTGCTTGTACATTTTATATAAACTATGATTTATAAAACTATAAAAATAAAAAAAGAAAGAAAAGAAAAGAATGGAGTCCAGAAACAAATTTATACATATATAGTCAATTGATTTAGGACAAAAGCAATACTGCAGTGCAGTGAAGAAAGGGTGAAATAGTCAATAAATTATTGTGCTGGGTCAATTGGATATTCACATGGATAACAGTATCTTGACTCCTAGCTACACATACCCAAACATCAATTTCACACAGACTGTAGACTTAGGTAAAACAGTAAAAGCTAATAGAAGATAACACGAGAGAATATCCTCATGATCTTGGGGTTGGCAAATATTTCTTAAACCGGCAGGAAAAAATCACTGACCATAAAGAAAAAGATTGATAAAATGTATCTCATTAAAATCAATAACTTCTTTTAATGAAAAAGACACCATTTAAGAGAGTAAAAAACTTCTCAATGTTTTTTTTTTCCTTTTAAAAAAGTAAGCTATCAATACATGTTGTCATTTTCATCAACTGATACTTTTAATTCAAATTAAAATTTTGTGGTAAGTGTAGATTCACATGAAGTTGTAGAACATAATACAGAGAGATCCTGTGTATCCTCTAAAGGTAACACCTTGCAAA